CTCCTCCTGATGGCCCCGTCCTACGTTTTGAAATCTGCTGACTGAAATAAGGCCAGTGTGGGTTTGCCACTTGCACTCGGGTCAGCATCCTTGTTCCCAGATGGTCCTATGGAAGGCAGCCGGCACTGTGTATGCTTTCTGGTCTTCTATGTTTTAATAATTATGATTTATTTTTAATGGAAAGCGAATACGTGCGAAAGCGGATAAAAGGCAACCAGGCTAGCATTCAGGGACTGGTGACTTTCTCCACGCTCCAGCCCCACCCTCCCTTCCTTGAAGCCCACTTCTGTCTGCCCCAAAGGGAGCAAATTATTGGCATGTACTTTTCTAGGAAGAAAGAGGGGGTTTGTCCTGTCTGCTTCGGGGTTGTCGTCACCAAGCCAGTGAGATAGAACTGAGGAAAATCCAGAGAGCTAACGGGTAACAAGGGACTGTTGTTGTCCCAGGAGGACAGATGTGCAGCAAGGCAGAGAGGGCACGACTCTGGCTGGCAGAGGTGACAGCTGGCATTTTAATGGTGTCCCAGGACCCCATGCAGAATTGGAACAAGGCCAGCCTCTTGTCAGTGGTCTTTTGCTGTTTGATTGTAGCACAGCACCCGGATCTGCCCTCGCAATCATGCAGCTGCCTGCCTGTCACCAGAAGCTGGGGACTGGCTGTGGGCTTGTAGCTCGGGACCGAAGCCTTTGCCCTGTGTTACTGCGGGGGGGGGGGGTGGGTTTCTGAGATAACGGCGTCCGTTTCCACCTGTGTTTCTGCAGAATCAGCTTTCCTGCTTCCATCTAAAGGCTCTGAACACCCAGGTCTATAAACACAGCCACCCCTAGACCCAAGGGGTTCCTGTCAACACCCTACTCCAACTTGGTCAGTAAGGAGCAGGCCGCCCTTCCTTCCCTTGCTGCCACCATTTCTGTTTCTTGTTTTTTAATCAAAGGAACAACAGCAGCAATGATACCACCAGGCAGGAAATGCCACACCTCAGAGACCACGTGACACGGCAAGTTTCAATTTATCACAAATGAGGAAGAGGCCTGGGGTCTGGATCCCAGCTCGGTATGGGGTGCAGCTTCATCAGTCATAGCCTGAAAGACGATTAATAAATTCTGCGTTTGGCATTCAGTACTCTTCCAGTCTCTTCTGCCAATTCATTACTCATTTGACAAGGACTTGCTGCCTTCATCTGAGTGTCACCCACTGGAAATGCTGGGCGATCATCACTTCCTGTGATGAAGTGTGGAAAGCTTTCTGTGATTAAGGGCAGAACCAGAAAATAACTTCTAGGAAAGAGACCGGTTACCCACATATGATTGAGTAAATGCTTGACATGTTCCTCTTCTCTGTCATGACACAGCTTGCTGTTCTCTCCTGCCTTGGCTGTGGCTCTAGGTGGGACCATGGAGTGCCAGGGCCTGGTTCAACATTGTTTTGCTGACAGGAAGTCATAAACATTGGCCGACAGTCAGATGCCTGCAGGAGCTCCCCGCTGGGAGAGACTCGGCTCAACCCCATTCGGGGAGCACCTGCGAGGGCAGAGGCAGGACCTGGGAGGCTCGAGAAGACTTGGGTGACACAGTAACACAAGACTGTGCTGTCCTATGGGAGAAGCCACTGGAACAACTGGATGGATGTGAGACAGCACAAGCTCTGAAAAGTGGAGGCAAAGAAATGCATGTGTTGGCCACTGGGGAGCTGAGGATGCAGCCCTGGCATCAGACCAGCTTGGGTTTGGAAGCCAGGTGACCACTGGTGTGGCTGCCCATGGCGATGTTTGGGGATCGGATGTGTTATCAGGGTCCCAGGTGCTCAGAGTTAAAGGTAAAACGGGGTGGCACAGTGCTTACTGTACATATGGGAGCTGCTAGTAATGGTGTCAGTAGGAATCAAATGTCCAGGTAGAAATCTGAGTGTCAGAGCAGAGGCGATCACTATGGTTCATACCGTGTTCTTTTGGGGGTGGTTTGCATGAGCGTCCTATCTCCTCATGAGAGTTCCAGAACCAGCTCGGTGAGATGTCTCTTTGACTCCATAGGTGCTCAGTCCCCAACGCCCCTGGTTAACCCCTGGTTGTCCCCCAAGGTGACCCCCATGACGTAATCACATCAACAGCAAGTCTCCAGGGCCACATATACCAAGCACCTGCTTGGGATCCTATGGCGAGGACAGTGTAGGGAAAGAAATGTGGGCAAGTGTCACCCTGTCACCACCAATGCCATGTGTAGCATTTTATCAGGACAGTGGGGCCTGCTGAAGAAATCTGGCCAGAGCCTTGGGTGGGCAGGTCTGAGTTTGGACAGATGACTCCAGCAGGATGGGACATGCAGAAGCCACCAGGCAAGGTGGCCGCTGTCACCAGGTGGGAGCTGAGGGCCTTAAAGCAGCAAGGCCGCCTGGGCAGAGTCACCTCATGTGTATTGTTTAATCTTCATAATACTTCCTATACATAGGTGCTGTTATTCCCATTTTACAGATGAAAAAGTAGAGGCACAGGGAGATCGAGTAACCTGCCCAAATTTACAGTTATGGAGGCACAAGTCAGGATCTGCTGCCAGGACCTGGGCTCAGTGCCACATTCTCTTAATATTTATGCTATGCAGCTGCTCGGTAACACAGTGTAGCCTGGGTCTGGGATTTTGGACAGACCTGAGCTGTAGCTGCAGAGAGGGCTGTGTGAAGGCAGACATCAGGGAGTCACCGGGGACCTATGGAGACTGGGCCAGGATGGGTCTGCAGCACCCAGCTTGTGCTCTGACAAACAGGTATCCAACAGTGAGCACCCTCCAACATGGGCACCATGGGGGAGAGCAGGCTGTGTCTCAGTGTCACTGGGCAAAGCTCCTGTGTCCACCCAGGGGGCCTGGCCCAGCGTGCGGGAGGCAGAAGGCTGCCGGCTCATCTGGTTGACAGTAGCTTTGGGATGAGGATTCCTGGGGGGCTGGGAGAGGGTCCCACACCGGTCACCTCTGCCTGGGGAAAGGGTGGAGCCACCATCTTTCTCCTTTTTGGGTCCTTTTCCTTCTCTTTGTCAAAGCAGAGCCAATTGGGAGTGCTCTCAAAATTTTGTTTCATTTTTGCAGTATCAGGGATTGAACCCAGGACCTTCACAATGAGCTACATGCCCAGCCCTTTAAAAATATATTTTTTTAAATTTCTTTTTGCAAACAGGTTCTAAGCTGCTATATTTCCCAGGCTGGATTTCAATTTGAAACCCTCCTGCCTTAGCCTCCCCGGACAGGCGTGTTACTAAACCTGGTGAAACCTTTTCACGGCCCTCGGAAATCCAGTCAGGTTCTGGATATTAAGCTTATTAAAACCCTGGAGCCTCTGGAAGTGAGGAAAGGTCAGGCAGAGGGAGACACTAGGCCAGGAGCTGAGGCCTCTCTGGGAATCACTCACCTCTCCCGCTGGGGCCACTTCTAGTCTATGGCCAGGCCTGCACAGTGGACGTGTGGGGCCTGGACACTTGTGTGCACCTGCAGGACTCCAATATCTGGCAGGGCTTTGCTGCTGTCCCTCAGCAAAGAAGCAGGTAGTGTGCGCGGTCACTCGGAGACCCCAGCAGCCTCTGGAGCTTGTTAGGTGCCGAGGCCCGGCCCGAGGCACAAACAGCTTAATAAGAGCCAGGTGAGGGGCTTGAGTGTGAGGTCCCTCTTCCCCGAGCAGCCTCCCCTGCTGGAGGCCGAGGTCCTGTGCCCAGCAGCTTCGCTCACCTGAAATCCAGCCCCTCAGGAACTAGAGGTCACTTGCAGAAGCTCTTCGCCTCACAGAATGCTCTGGTTTGTTGAGAAGGAGATTTAAGCACAGTGTTCTAGACTTGGGGTTTGAGTCCAGGGCTGCGCCCCCTCTATGCCCAAACCCAAAGAGGTTCACATCCCTTGTGTAAACTGGATAATGCATTGCACAATACTGCACTGTCTCATGTATTTTAAGCCATCTCTCGGTGACTTACAATTCCTAGTACACACTTGGCATCAGCAGCTGCACCCTGCACTGCTGAGAAATCACAAGGAGAGAATCGCACATGTTCAGAATCAGTACAAAGTTTTCCCGCATGCTTCTGGTCCATGGTTGGATGAATCCACAGATACAGAGGTGACTGTACTTAAAGTGAAGTGTTCCAGGGCTTTCCCTCAGGGGCAGTGACACTCCCTAAGACACCCCAGATAATGCTGCTGCGGGTTGATTTATTCTCGTTATTCCCAGGCTGTCTCAGGACAAAGATTGGCCAAGACATTTTTGGTAAATGTGGAGGAATAAGCTCTTAGCATGCAAGGCTTCCAGAAAGTTAATTTCTGTGAGATGAACTTCCCACTCGCCTTATATCACCAGATACCTGAGGCGGGCCTGGCCCTTGCCTGGCTGGTGCTATTTTGTCAGTAAGCTGAGGTCCCCCTTCCCCACAACCCCCTTCCCCAGCCCAACTGAATCTTTTTGGGGTTCCTGCCGGCAGATGATAAAACACACAGGAGTCAAGACTTTTTTTAAGACTTTTTTTTTTGGTTTGTTTTTAAAGAAACTGCATACATCATCAGAGACAAACAATAATTTAAATACCATGCAGTTTCTGTATGTACAAAACCTAGGCCATAGAGATCCAGTTTAATTTGTATTCTATGTACACCACCTTCCTCATACAGCCATCATCTGATAAATTAGAGCCCGGGAGTGCGCGGATCGAGGGTCACCACACCCACTCACCCCTATACAGAGACAAACTATATACACCCAGGGGAGCAACTGCGGAAAGCAACCAGTTTGGGGATGAACAGACAGATGGCAAGAAAAAGTCCTTGAAGGTGACCTTTGCCCACCGGCTGTGCATGGGGAGAGCCTGAAATTCCATTCATCGAAGCAACACACCACGATTTTTCATTCTGCAAAGATAGACACTTGTTTGTAAGCAGGAGGAAAATAAACTCAGAGCGTTTCATCACGTGGACCGTCACATTGTTTGGTTTCTTCCGTCTGATGGAAAGGCTAATGCTTTACAAGTTTTACAGGGCTTTGGGATGAAGTTACCAGGAACTTGGAAAAGGCAGGTAGGCCGGCTGCAGTCTCTTCAGTCACTGAGATGGAGATGGATTGCTGTCTTACTTTGAGAGGGAAACGTGATTTGACATATTTCAAATTTTCCCTCTCCCCCTAATTCTATGACATATTGCTCAGTTGGGGATGTATGCACTCAGAAATAACCTGGCTTGAAAACTGTAGGCTTTTTTTTTTTGTTTAAAGAAATGCATTTTAAGCCCATCTATTTTTTTCTTTTCTTTTTTAAGCCACCTAATTAATGTCAGTTTATCATCTTGGAAAGTAACACAGATGGCTTCTGTTGTCACAAGACTATGGCCAAAAGAAATGTGAGAGATCTTTCTAGAGACCTCAAGGTTTTAAGACAGAGACAGAAGAGGCCCCAGCCTGCAGGCCACAGAGGGTGCTAAGTCAACAGAACTGCTTAGAAATAGCCAGTCCCAAAGGCAGGTGACTTCCCAGGGTGTGGGACGTGCACCCCTAACTCAGCGGTGACTTCTGAGAAGGGTGCCCTGCAGGGAGAGGAGTGAACAGTGCCCTCCATCTCTTTATGCACCAAGTGGGCTGCAAGCCCAGGGCTCCTGGGGCACATGTGCTGGCTGGTGGCTGCCTGTGGGGAGGTCCCTTGGAGCCTTCTATTCCCAGGGAACCTGAGGGCCCAGAACCACGCCCAGCAGGGGAGAAGTCCAGGTGACTTCTAAGGACTGAGTTCCCTTAGGACTCACTCCTGGCCAGGAAAAGCCCAGCTGTCAGGGCAGTCACACTTGAGCTCCAGGTGCCAGCTGCGGCTCAGCTGTGAGCTAGGGGAAGTGCAGCCCTGGGCCAGGCCTGGCCTGGTGGATGACCTGGCTGGGACACACGCACACTTGCCGGCCCCACCTGCCCTCAGGATGTTCAGCGAGAAAGCACGAGTCTTCCGTTCTACCATTTGCACATTCAAATGCCAGTAAGCCTTTTGGGAAGATGCATTCACAGCCATGCTAAAATCCTGACTGTGTTTTCCCTGAATACCTCTCTGACTACAGGAACCATTCAGATTCAACACCCAAAGAAAACAACAAAGGGGGAAAAAAGAGATCTAGCGATGGGGTCCTTCTGGGGCTGGGCAGAGGCCGGCTAGCTCTGGACCTCGGGAGGTCACAGCGGCTGGGGGTGCTGTCCCCAGAGCTGCCCTGGGCTCTCTACAAATCTCCCAGGCTCCTGGGTTAGGGCTTCCCTGGAGCCAGGGAATTCCAGGGCCTGCTTGCTGGGTGCTGTGTCCTAAGACTGGCTCCTGCTGGGCTTGGGGTGAGGACTTGATTCTTTCCAGGGTGGCCAGGCTAGCATCTTCTTGATGCTGAGCATGTGTGGTAGAGAGTAAGTCATCACCCAGAATAACCTGGTGACTCTGGAGCCAGCAGAGGAGACCAGGCAGAGCCCTGCCCCGAGAGCCTGAGAGCCAGGTCTGCAAGAAAAGCAAGAAACCCTGCAGCAGGCTACTTCGGGGTACCTCTTAGGGCTTGGGGTGCATGTCCCTCCCCCATTGCACCCCAACCCTCAGTGTCTCTGTTAACAGAGCATTGCTTTTCTGGGGCTCTGGGGCTCAGGACAGTTGGAGCCACATCTCCGCTCATCCAGTATCTCAGGAGAAGGGGAGGAATCTCCTGGGACAGTTGCGGAGGGAAGGCCAGGAGCAGGTGCATCTGGTGTCTGCCCCACAGTGCACATGGCAAATTCTGAGCTTTTCCAGAGAAATTCCTAGTGCAAAGAGAGGAGAGTGGAAGGCCACTGAGTGGTGCTGGAGGGCTAGGCTCCTGGAGCCCCTCTTCCAGCCCATCTTCCAGGAATGGTTTCTGGCCACCACACACTGGCCCTATACCCTGAAGTCATTAACTTCCAAGCCACGCAACTGCTGGCCTAGAGGTACACAGGAAGATTAAAAACAGTGGCCAAGCAGAGTTTCTGGGCCCAGCCTTTCTGTCCCCTGCAGGGTCCTCGGCTCCTATGCATAAACACCAGGGGATTCCTTAGCGGTGGTGTTATATCACCCATGACACTGAGCTTTCTGAACTTGCATGAGTGAATGAATCTGCACTGAGAAGGTGACAATTTTCCCTTGGGAAACCACAGCCTCCTGGGAAGCAGCTCCCCCTTGGTGGAGGGGACAGGGACTACCCAGAGTCAGCCTGTCACAGCTATCCATATGCTGGGACCAGTGAGCCACACACACCCCAGAAGAGGGCAACCGAGGGTGCAGTGTCCCCCAGCATCACCCTCCTTGGGGACCCTGAAACCAGATGCCACGTTGGGACTAGTGCCGAGTCCAGGAGGCCAGCCAGATCTCCAGCTCTGCACAGTCACTCCAAGGCCAAGCCCACCGCCTCCGCTTGCTCTGGATGCAGGTGACAGTCCCATGTGCATGAGGAAGGGGAGTGTTGGAGCTGGATGAACGGGGTGCCTGCTGGGCCTGGAAGGAGAGGATGAGGCCATGCCGACTCTGGGAGGTCTTCGGCCCGGGCCCCAGCTGCACAGTGGGACATGCGTTGGTACCCGAAGTGGCACCAGCAGCTCTGACCGTGGACTGGTCACCGCCATGTCTTTGCACATAGAATCCTGATTGTTTCCTTTTATTTTTCTTCTTTTAAAAAAAAAAAAAAAAAAGGCAGTTCAGAAGATTTACACCGGAACGGGAAGTGAATAATGCCAGCACTTATGGTTCTTACAGACTTATGTTTGGAAGCCAGCAGAGCGCTCGGGAGGAACCCCACTGCTAAGGTCGGTGAAACCTGGGGACACAAAGAACCAAGTCAAGACACAGGTACTGTCCAAGGTGTGGGCTCATTGAGACGACCTTCCGGTCCTCAGCTGCTCTGGCTGTGACAGGGATGGGGCCTGGGAACTTCAAGGTGAGCCCCTCCAAACTCATCTCTGCTCTTTGGCTACAGTGACCACCCAGAGGGCCCATCCTATGCTGGCAGCTGGATCCAGCAGTGGGCAAGGTCACCTGTCTCTGAGTGCTGGCCCTAAATACTTGGTAAGTCCTGTTCCTCTAAGTGTACATCAAAGGAGAGGAAGTAGAGTTAGGACAATGGCTTTGTCACTAGCCATGTGAACTTACATGAGCCTCTTAGTGCCCCCGTGCCTCAGTTTCCCCACATGATGTCACACAGGAATGTTGTGCAGAATGACACAGAGTAATAGAAGGGAACTTGCTTTGGAAGTCCCACGTAGATGTGGTATTTTGCCCAGCTTTGACTCTGCTATGTGCATGTACATTGGCAATGAACTTTTCTCCTTAGTTTATGGTTTTACAAGCACTCACTGGGGTTTGCCCTCGCCGGATCATCTGGCCAGGGCTGCAGAGCTCTTTGCCTCATTTCAGCAATGTTGCAGTGGAACTAAGTGTTTCCCTTTCTCTCCTCTGCCCTGCGCCCACCAAACCACTCACAACCCGGAAACAGGTGACAGGTTTGTTTGGAAGTAAATATTGCAATTTGGGGGAAATAAATCAACAAACAAAACCCTGAACACTAACCTTGTTAAGTGCCTACTCAGTTCATGGACTTCCATTTCAGTGCTTTTAAACTCGTTGAGCTCCTTCCGAATGGCAGCCTGGGGTGGAAGAGAGCCGTCAGTATGCAGAGGAGGGAGGCAAAAGGGGGATCCCTGCACATGTAATGATTTTTATTTCACATGTAGTAATATTTTTTCTTCTGCAAAGCCATATAAACAAGTGAAGTGAATTCTTTCCACGGAGAGGGAAATAAATGACCTTTAGAACCTTCTAAGAGTTCCCTTCTCAGGAGAATTGGTGAGGGTCTGAGGCAGCGAGGCAAATACAATTTTAGCTTCTTTTGCTTTTATACCCAGGACAATGCCCCAAACACAGGTCTGAGAGGTTCGAGGTCCAGGAGGTCCGAGATAGGTCTGGAGTCTGCTCTTGAACAGTTCTGGGCCTGGACCAGCCCTGTTCCGTCTCTCTGAGTGCAGACTTCGGTGCTATGGTTTGAACATGTTTCCCACAAGTGCATGTGTTGGAACCTTAATTCCAAGTGCAACCATACTGAGAGACATGAGAGTTCTTTAGGTCATTAGGAGGAATTAATTCCTTGCCCCAGGGACTGGATTAGTCGCAGAGAGGGGCTGTTATAAAGCAAGGCCGCCCTGGTGTCTTCTCTGTGGCATGCTGCTTCTCTCTCCGACTTCCGCCATCTTAGCAAGCAGCACAGGGCCCTCACCAGATGCTGCTCCAGACCTTGGATTTCCCACCTCCAGAACCAGGAGACTAAACTGGTTTCTTTCCTTGTAAATTGGAACGGACTCACATACTCTGTTATAGTAACAGAGAATGGGCTAAGGCATCGCCCCTCCTCTTCCTGTAAATCAGGCACAGTGTTATGCTGTCTTGTGCCTGCTCGGTGAGGGGAATCTACCCAGGGACCTGTGCAGGCTAGCTGGAGTCCTGGGGAGAGGTGCTGGGGAGACAGCACTGCGAGAAACAGGCTTGGGGGGGCCCACCGTGGGGCTGGCAGCTAAGGCCTTGCTGCTCTCCTGCTGGGCTCCCCGAGAAGCCCCGTCCCCTGCCTCCCCTTGGCCCCCTCTGCTTACTTTGTCGGCAGCAGTGAGGCGGGTCCATGGCTTGTCTGCCCTGCGGTCATAGTCTTGAGCGTCAGCCACCTCCACGTAGTCACTGAAGCGGATGAGGATCTTCCTTTCCCGGAGCTCTTCCACCGTGGGCCTCTGACTGAGCTGCAGTGGAGGACAGAGAGGGCCCAGTCAACCAGAGGAGTATGGACCATGAGGCCCCATCCATGGTAAGTGAGGTCCAGAGGGGAAATCAACGCATCAGTCCCAACTCCTGGATTCAGGCCTGTTTCAGGTGATAGCCGGGGGGCGGGGGGCTCCCTGCACACAGCGCTGCTGTTTCTGGATCTTCTGGAGAAGCTCGTTTTACTATGTGGATGTGGGTACCTGTTCTTCCCCTATCAGGTGACAAGCACCTTATAGGAGGATTTTGTCTCATTCTGGATTTGAGTCTATTCTTAATTTAGCACTCTCTGCAAGGTGGGTTTGTAATGCATTTTACCTGTAGGTGCACATGTGTGTGTGCATGTGATGCTGCATGTTTTAGACACATAAAAAAGCTAAGTGTGAACAGCATGCAAACTCCAGCATACACAGGGATGGGAATGTGTTGAGAGTTTTCAGAGCAAACATTACTAATGGTCTCCTCAAGAAGGTCAACTGCATGGTCAGCTAACAAACACAGGGCCAAGAGAACCCAGTGCAACGCCACAGTCATGCCAAGGCAGGTAGGGCTGGGCTTACTGTGGCAGGAATGAGGAATGAGATGATCTTTATTGAGCCCCCTCTTGATATTCCTCACCCCCTAGTACCCCTCCTCTGTCCTTTCACAACACCAGGCTTGCATTTTCTATTATCTCTTCCTGCTGCAGGTTTATGTCTTCAGGAACGACAGTCACTCTCTTTAGGATACTGTCAATGCATGTTCAGCCAGTGTTGTGTAAAAACAGTTCTTCTTCCCAGTCCTACGCTGTATTTAATGGGGTTAATAGAAGATGGAGTCTGACAGTCTTAGCCCTCAGACATACAAAATAAATGCACACAAGTCCAAGCCATCCTGACTGTGGCACAGCTGCCTGACACCCTGGGCTGGGGCTGGAAGGTGCCATCTTGCTGCCACATTGGTGAACACAAGAAGAATGTCTGCTGCTATCCAGCAGAGCTGTGTCATGCATCACTGAGTCCTGGAGCAGGACAGGGGTGGACAGCCAGTAGCTCCCTCTCAGCCAGTGGTGGGGGTTCCAGGGATCAGAGGCCTTGCAGCTGTCAAGCTGTCCACTTGCCTAGACTCCATGCAGCTTCCCTCTAGTCCCTTCTAAGTAGCCCTGGGTTTTGCCAAGCCAGGACGTTTAGGCCTCAATGATGGTCTGTTGCAGAAACGCATAGGTTTCCTAGACTTAGCGGTGGTCATTGTAAACAAAATGACAGTCATCTTGACACCGAAATGTGGGTAGAAAATGTGGAAAGTTTGCTCTATAATTAAAAGACATAAAAACACTGAATATTTACCTGGTATTTACCCCAGGTAAGTAGATTGCTACTCAAAATTCCCAGTTTTTGTGTTTTAGGACTAGTGGTGTTGACTCCAGGCTGTTGGACAAACAATATTCTTCAATGTGTGCAGTGACTGGAAAAAGTTGCTAAGGTCTGAGTTTGCATTTGTCTCCCTGGAATCATGATCTGGATGGTACTAACAGCTTGTCTATGGCAGAGTCTGGTAGTAATGGAAACCTCAATGTAAGCTCTGAAGGGCAGGGACATCTACTTGTGTCTGAATCCTATGGGGCCTCAGACACTATTGCCCCAAGTCAGGAAGGTACCATGCCCATGCACAAGAAGGGAGTGAGCCAGGACAGATCCAGCCGCTGCCTCGGTGATCTCAGGTTGAGTGTGGACCTTGGTACTAATGGAGCAGCCAGGTCCCTCCTCCATATGCATGGGCTTATCCCCCGGATCGTATGGAGCTTAGCATATGGACCCTGTGGCTAGTGGCAGCCTTGGGTACCTACAACTTGAGGTCATTCCTTGGATGCTGAGGAAATCATCTTTGAGGCCAAAGTCAGGTTTTCTGTGCATAATGGGCTGGAAAAAGGGGGAGGCAGTGATCGGTAGTGCTTGTATCAATCTACAGTAGCAATAATACCATGGACAAAGAACAGCTAAAAAAATAGAGTAAATTAACTGAGAACCAAATTCTACTCTGTACAATCTGACCCCTTGGTGCATTTCTTTCCTTATCTTTTTCTCCATCTTCCTTCCTCCCATCTATGGCTGCCTGCATGCATCCATCCATTTACCTATTATTTCTTTTTTTTGGAGCAGAAGATACTCACTTTTTTTTAAAGAATATAACGTTTATGTTATTTTCAATTTGGCTGCCCAAAATAACTGGTCTGTTGCTATCAGCATCAGCCACTGAGTTTTATTTTTCTCACTAGCACATTAAAATTAAATAGAAACTTATTGAAGAAATTTTGGGGCTGAGGAGAAGTAAATGAAAAGCAGTCACCAGCCCTGGCATCTGGCCTTGGTGTGATAAAGGCTCAAGAGGGAAGACTTGCCTACGGCCAGGACATGAAATGAATTTTCTATATGCTGGCAGGTGCCCCGTCTCTGGGCCATGAACAGATGGGTGGAAAGCTGCTTCCCATTCTCTGGTCTTTTCCTTACAGTCTTCCTATGCTCAGGTTATTCCTGGCTGTTTACTCTGCTGCTTACTGTTCCGCCATCTTTCCGGAAGCTGCTCAGATTATTCCTAACTCCTGGAGTCAATGCCCAGGGAGGGCAAATGCTAGGATTACAAGGCCATTTTTCTGGGTGTGGGGAGGAAGGAGAGGAACCCAGGGGCAATGAGGCAATTATCCTATCTTGGGGACCTGTAAGAACTAGAAGTCCATCCTGGAGCCACCCTAGGGAAGATGGGAATTTCTTTTCCATTACCACATTATGCAACTCTTCAGGTTTCTCTCAGCCAGATCATATGATCTTTCTTTAACAGATAAGAACTGAATATACGTCTAAGTAATTTCTATGACATTTAGTAAGCAACCTTGAAGTTTCAGAGACTTTGTTAGTTCCAGCCATGAACTCCATGAACCTGATGAAAATCAGATTAAAAATATTTTTTTCAAATTTCTAGAACTTTCTGTGCCAGAAATGAGAAGGTATTACTGGTCTCTTTCTTACATGCCCCTAAGTTCAAGGGCATACTTAGAGCAAGTGAATATATCTCTCCTGTTCAGACTCTCCTGTTCTCCTGTTCATGGCTCAGTCTCAGGAATAAATGCATGCTGGGTCCAAAGTCTGGATGGTTTGAGATGCTGAGGGACAGATCTTGACTGGCGTAAGAGCACCAGGATGAACTGAGGTCATTTTGTTCTTATCCTAGTGACCCCCAGGGCAACACCAGCCAGTTGCCCATTGGTTCAGGCCCTTATTTGTCTTGCTTCTTTTAATTGGGTTGGCACTTGGCTGGTCATCAGAAGTTTAGGATACGATGCTTAGGGTGTGCTGAGAAACAGAAATAATCCCTTTAATAATTTGTACAACATTTCAGGACCACTGAATTTCTTGCTTTGCATAACATTTCTAAGCAAAGTAATCCACTAATAAACCTTTTAAAATCTAATTGGTCTCATCACTGTCTTTAAGATTTGAGTATTTTTTCTAAGATGATCACAGTGGGAGGTTGATTGAAAACACGTTAGATAGAAGGTAATGTCATTTCTTGTGTCATCAATTAATTAAGCTTTTCAATATCACCCAGGAATAGCCTCAAATTTATTACTCAAGAGGCCATCTCTTGAGTATGAGATCTCTGTGGGTCTACACTGTATTGCTAAACCATCTATTTTTGGGTTAAAATATGTGAAAGTTCCAGCTTTTATGATCTTTATGTAAGTACTTTAAAAACATCTGCATCAATGTTATCTGCACGTCTGGCATTTTCTTAATCCAATAATTCACACTGGATTTAACATAATCCAGCCAAATATTCTTAAGCCCTAACTGGTAAGGCATAGTATTGGGAAGCAAAGAAAATCCACATTTTCCCAGGCAAATGACCACGGCAAATTGACAAGTCATATTTAAATTACTATTTTGATGATGAATTTCTGATGGGCTGATGGGGTTGTAACAATTTTTTGTGTGCTGGGGACTGAACTCAGTCTGATGAGCATGCTAAGCCTGAGGTATACCACTGAGCCACATCCCCGGTCCCTTTAATGAAATTGTAAAAACAAAATATTTAGTGTAGCTGAAAATACAATGTGACAGACAGCAAGTTGTGGGGCTGGTGGGTGTCACAAATTAAGCTGGAGTGAATGTTACCAGCCGAAAAGACCCCTGCACAGGTTCCCCAGGGAGAGTTCACCTGGAGAATTCTTGGAGGTTAAAAAGCTTTGCACTCCAATACCCGCAGTGGGGAACCAAGGAGCCATATGGCTTCAACGCCACCAAGGCACCAGAGGCAAAGCACCCTCTCCTGGCCCAGCCCTCTGCATGCAGAACCTTCTCACCTTTCGTGTTAACCGCCTCTTGATCTCTCTTTTCTCCTCTTGTTCCTCTTGTTCATTCCGAGCTGAAAGAAATATCAAAGATGCTTTTGACTTTAGTACACACGGGAGCATCCCCTAGGCCTCAGCAGGCTTTAGTCCAAGTATTTCAGCTTGAAAAGAGGGAGAGGACACTGGTGCCCCCTTCCCTAGCTACATCTGCCCGTGGGGATGTTCCCTAAACTGACTGCACTGTTTCAAGGGGGCAGCCGACAGGTGACCTTTACATTTTTTAAAAATGTCATGTAGGGTTTTGGGTCCTAAGCAGACAGACTGGGCTGAGAACTGTGGCTGGAGGGCTAGGGAGCCAGGCCTTGAGAGATTGTGAGGCTCTCTTCTGTGGGGTCCCAAGGGCCTCACTCATGCCCTTGGAGCCTCCCAGATGCCCTTGGAGCCTCCCAGAAAGGGCTCATTGGATGTGGTCAGGGGCACAGGTGGGGGAACAGAAAGTGGACCTCCACTTCTGCCACCTCCATGGCCAACAGCAAACCTGAGGCAGGCTGCACCACCAGGGATTTCAGAGGCTGCCCACCTCTCTCAAGCCCTAATTCCATGAATTCTTTGCATCTTCCAAGGAGTCTGCAGAACAAGTGTGTGGCCATGGTGTGGGACATCACTGCCTGCTTTTTGACTTGCCAGGAAGGTCTGAGGAGCGGACTGTGGAGCCTGAAGGTGCTCCGCTCAGTGTGTGGGTGACTTACTCAGCCACAAGGATTTTAAGAGCCGAAGGTAAGGGGGTCTGGGAAGGGAGCAGAGATTTGAGGGGCAGAGAACTTGTGCTTATTTCTCTGGCTCAGCCAACTGAATGATCTTGGGGTAAAGGTTTCACATCGGGCCTTGGAAGGAGTCTTTGATATTTATGGAAATGTATCTATCAGCCTAGTGTCACCTGACTTGAAAAACACACTGACACCAGTGAGCGGCTCAGAAGACCTTGGGTTTAGAATGGCACTGGTGTAGGAGCCACAAGTGGATTCTGGCCCAGGGTGTGTTAAGATGGTTTGGGACTCCTGTCTCCTCGTTTTGTTATCATGGCTGTTGAGTTATGTTTTGAAAACTTCATGAGTTTGCTTGCTTGCCATTTAGTTGTGGCTTCTGCTGCTCCCAGGCCAGGCCAGATCTTTACAAGGGGGAAACCGCTGTGGCAATGGGGGTGGGATTATCTGATGAGCTGTCCTGTCCTTCACTCTTGCCACTGAGACCACAGGCAGCTGCCTCCCACTGGGACAAACAGTGGAGCCCAGAGCCAATTAATACCTAAAGGGATCACAACTTTGTATAAGGGCAGTGCACAAAATGCCCACATTCTATCCTGGCATCGGTCAGCAGGCCCCCTCCACCCCCCAGTTCCACCATGGAATGCTCCTTTCTTTGGATGTAAAGATCCTCTCTCCCATAGTTTTCTTTGGAAATGCAAATTTCTCTTTGGTAAAACCCATTAAACTAGCCAGCCATTCATAGATTGATATGAATTTATCAGAGATCATGGGGAGAGAGACAGCAAGAACCAGGAGAGAACACAGGATGCAAATTTCTCTGGCATAAAATATGGGAATTGGTCGGCCATTAATATCTTAACTTATCAAAGAATCAACTGGAAGACAGATAGCAAGAACTGGAAGAAGGGAAGGCAGACAGCTATGATTGCAGGTGGGAGAAAGGAGAGAGGGAGAGTTTGGGAGTCTGCCCCAGGGATAGCCTGAGAGCAGTTGGTTAAAATTCACAGGGGTCACAGAAGCCACCACACTTGGTTTACAAATGCAGATCTGAAAGCCATAGGGATATCCAGGTGGGCATGGTGGGACAAGCCTGTAATCCTAATGTTTGGGAGGCTGAGGCAGGAGGATCACTGTGAGTTTGAGTGCAGCCAGGGCTACAAAGTGAGTTCAAAGCCAGTTTGAACTGCATAGTGAAACCCTGCCTCAAAAAAAAAAAAAAAAAAAAAAAAAAAAAAGCAAGAAAGCCCCAGGGAGTTCAGTAACCAGTCACACCCTCCATGGTTAATTAGTTAGATAAACAGTTCAGCTCTCTGCCTTTTCCTGCCGTTAGGCTTTGCTTGGGGCCTGGCCCACCTTCTCATCAGTGGGGGCCTCAGATTCCAAACTCCTCACACCCATCCTGAGCCGAAGGTGGCATTCCTTGCCAGGGCTGAGAGAGCCTGGAGCCCCTGTTTCCTTTGTATGATTCCTTGGTCCCTCTGAGAGGAGGGATCCCTAGCAATGGCTTGCAAAATCCAAAACTTTAGTTAAAAATCCAGGGTGGTGGCACATGTCCAGAATCCTAGCACTCTGGAAGCCTGAGGCAGGAGGATCGAAAATTTGAGCGCAGACTGGGTAACTTTGTGAGTTGGTAAGACCCTGTTTCAAAAGTGAAAAATAAAAACCGGCTGAGAATGTAGCTCAGTGCTAAGGGCTTGAGTTTACTCTCCAGTACTGCAAGACAAGCGAAGACAAGACAAGGCCATTTACAAACCTAGTGTCAACAATTCTCAGGTAGAGGGTCCCAAAAGAGCTCATTAAACGAATGACAAAGAGGCCAGATGTGGCCTGTTGGGAGGAGGATCTGAGTCTCTCTGTTATATGCACAGGGTCTCCTGTGCATATAACACAGGAGACAGCTGCAGAACACAGGAAGGACTGGGCAGGGTGAGGCTGTGAGGCAAATCAGACCCCCAAGCTGGACCCCAGGCTGGCCTCTCTGGGCCACCCACCCTCCACTTCCCCAGGCCTGCCTCTCCTTCAGTGACTTAAAGCCCAGAAAACAAGATTTGTTTATTTATTTATTTATTTGGTCCTAGGAATGGAAATCAGGACCTCCACACTGAGCTACATTCCAAGAATTGTCTTTATTTTGAGACAGGTCTGCTCAGGCAACTCTCCTGCCTCAGCTGCCTAGATTATAGGTGCATGATACCGCCCTGCTTCACAAAATAATACGCTTTAGAGCAAATTGTTTGAGGGTGCTTTCTTATCCCATTAGACATTTCTTGACTAGCAAGTCGAAGTAGATTAATAAATACAGTTAAAAAATAAAATAATTTAGAAAATCGGTTCCGGGTTGCAAAGAAAAATAAGAACCTATATGAAAAACACAAGTTCTTTTCTCAAAAGTCTCCTGAAACCTGTTTGAATTTGGTCAGGTACTTCTGTAATTTGCAGCTATTGGATCAGAATGAGAAAGAAACAAGAGGATGAAAGCCCGGGAGTGACCTTCAGGTCTTCTTTTCGTGTGAACCTTGCCGCTGCTGGATTTGACTGTTTGCTGAAACCCAAACAGTCTCAAGAGCTCTGCACCCTCTTTGAGCTTAGAAAGAGCTCAAATTCGGAAGCCCCCAAATCCAGTTCAGAAGCAGGAATACACTGTACAGATTCTCACAGGCCACACAGCCAAAGAGCTATGCGTGTGGGTTGGACGAAGTGGGGAGGAAGCCCAGTGGTCTGATTTCTGATTTTAGGAATCAGGGTCTGCCTGTCTTCCTTTCTTCCTGACAATGGATCATTTATAATGCATTGGGTCTCAGTCTGGGCTGCAGAGTGAGACATAACACCAGCCAAATGCTTCTCTGACCACAGTAATCTCTGGAAAGGCTCTAAGGACCCTGTATAGTATAGTAAATTCAGAAACTTATCTAGTTATTTATTTGGTACTGGAGATTGAACCGAGGGTCTTCACACTCAGCAATATTCCCAGCTCTCTCTTTTTTTTTAAAATTTTGAGACAGGGACTCACTAACTTAAGTTGCCCAGGCTGCGTAAGCACTTGCAATCCTCTTGCCTCAGCCTCCCAGAGTGCAGGGATTACAGGCATCTGCCACCATGTCTGGCTGCTTAGAAACTTTTAAGTGTCCTCACAGATGAGCATCACTATCTACACACATCCCTAGCTGCACTGAGCACTAAGGCAGACCTGCCCTGAACACACAGCTCAGCGCTTGGGGGAGGAAGGGGGATGGGATTCCCAGCCAGGTAAGCAGAGGCAGCCTCTGCTCACCGAGACTCCAGCCATAGCCAGTGCTCACCCTCAGCAAACTGGCAAGTGCTGACCCAGTTACGGGGCGTTAGGGGGAAGCCTAGCAAAGCGCAACGGAGAGCATTTTAGGTCGGTTTAAGTGGAAACACCCAGCTGGAGCAGGGTCACACACGTGACAGGGGTGTGTGCGTGTGCACGTGAGCGCATCTGTACGACATGTCTAGAAAACTGTGTAGCACCTACTTCTCTTTTTTGGAGGAAACATTAAGAGGTTGTTTCTGGGTTGGAGGAAAAAGGTCATAAATTAAAGTATATTATTTGTTGATGAAAATGCTTCTTTCATTATTTTGAACTGTAATTTTTTAGCACCAAGTGGCTCCTCCATATATATCCAAATACACTCTATGTCCTGGACCCAACAAGAGGTTCCTATATTTTTCTGCCAGTGGCCTCGGTGACAGCGAGTTTCTCCTGAATGACAGCGACGAACCCCGACAGATGGGCACAAGGCATTTTCTCGGGGAACTGCTACCTCGGATTGCAAACTTGGTGTTTCAAAGGGCTGAGGAGTCTGCAGACAGCTGCCACAGAGACTCGTGTTTTCTAGTCCCCAATGGCAGATGGCTACTTCCCTTGTGTTGGCCAGCAAAACGCTCTTCAGTGTTGTGAAGCCACCTTGGTTAAAAGGTGACCCACCCTCTCCTCCTGGTGGAATTTTTCAGCTTCTCCCTGACTTCAAAAGGGGGAGGTTCTGCAGCCACCAGAGGGGAATAAAACAAGCCTTTGCCCTTTGGTGCACCAGCACCCAGGGGAGGTGTCCAGTGCTCTCCCAGCAGCCCAAGGAGAAGCTCAGTGGCAAAGCACTTGGGAACAAGAAAAGTCACCCCAGAGCATGCAGCACTGCCGGGGCTGAGTCACTCACGTTTCAGGATGTTCCTCTGCTCCAGTTCCTCTGCCGTGGGCCTCTGGCTCAGCCGCCTACGGAAAAAGTCCAGGAGAAGTTTTTGGACCATGTCATAGCCTCCTTGGGTCATTAATCCCCTCAGCCCTTGGAGATGCATGAGGCAGAGCTGGTGGCCGAAGGTCTCCTTCCATCCTGTGCTGCTGACTCTCCTTGCCGCTCCTCAGTTCCTCAATTTCAACCCCAGGCCATTTCAAGCTCTGCGTCATGTCACGCAGGGCTGACCTCCGCCTGCCTTCCCGCCTGCCCCATCCCTCCCTCTCCCTCCCTCCCTCCCTGCCTCTGTTCCTCCCTCCTAGCCTCGCTCCTCAGTGCCCCCAGGCCAGGGGACGAAACTCAGCCTGGACTCTCCTCTTCACAGAAGTTCCTTTCTTTCCTTGTGGCCTGTTCACTTCAGGACCGTGGCCTCTCGCCTTTCCCCCTCTCCCCGAGGTGACAGCCTGCTCCCAGCCACATGAATGCAGACTCAGAACAGAAAGCGACTCATGGTCCCAGGGACCCGCAAGAGAGCGTGTCTGTCTGCAGGGACAATGGCTGCTCTTCTTTCATCCACCCATCACCCCTGGAGCTCATCAGACGTGAAGTGACAAAGGAACAGGCTCAAAAAAATGACACTCCTGTAGCTGGACACCACAGCAAGGGTGCGCACATCAAGATGCACAGGGAAGGCGGGCACAGACAATGGGCGGGTGGAGCTTTGCAGCAGAAGTCATCAGAGAACGGGATGGCATCACAGAGGAGAGCGACACATTTGTACACACGTGAAAGGACACGGACAATCAACATAGAGTGGGCCCGGGCACGGGCAGAGATATATGTGGTTTTGAGGTTGTTGGTGATCACTGAACAACCCCACAATCATTCTGCATTCCTCCTTTATCCACTGGGGTGAAGTGTGTGTGAATGAGAACATTCTGGAAGGAGTTGGAAGCATCTGGAAACCTCCCCTGGGACCTAAGGGGCAAAGAGGAATGCTCTCAGAGTTGGAGGAGGGGCAGTGCTCCCCAAATGTTCCAAACTCACACCTTCAGTTGGTAAGGGGTTCACATCATGGAATCGGAAGGAATGTGCTAGAATGTGAGAAAGTTGCCAGAATCAAAATGGAGTCACTTTTGTCAGACTCCAACCACAAACAACAAATTAAATAAATGAAGCCTGGATATTGAAGGAGAGGATTTCATTCATGCATACATGATAGAATCATTCACAAAAGACTGCACACTGAGGATTCTTGTTTTAAAATTTATCCTATGTTATCTTCATAAATAACTATTATTTCCTGGAGAATTTCAGTCTGTTTCTTGAGAAGTGAAAATAGAAAGTCCATGAAGTCTCCAAGTATGACTCCTTCAAATATAATGGCTGTTAACATTTGTAAAATCTGTAGCACTTTGAAACAGTTGGGAATTTTATTCTAAAATCTTTTTATGTTTGTAAGAAGATTTTGATGGTTACTTGTTTCCTCTTTAAAATGTCTCTGTGGCATAATATGAAATATATTTTTTGTCTCTGGTACCTGTCATATGGCACCCAGAACTCGTGGAATTTCCTGAGTAACTGGAGTGTGTTTGCTTTTCTAGAGTCCTTTTGATCACACATGCATTTATGCCAATGAGATGAGCTATAACGGGGCACTCAGAAAGACTCAAGACAGGGTTGGTCACCAGCATAGGCAGGATCATCTGCCAATTAAAATTCTTTTTTTTTTTGTTTTTTTTGAGATACTGGGATTTGAACTCACGGCTTTTGCACTGATCAACATCCCCAACCCCGTTTTAATTTTTTTATTTTGAGACAAGGTCTTGCTAAGTGGTTAAACTGCCCAGGTGGGACTGCACTTGGTGATCCTCCTGCCTCAGCCTCTTGGAGTGCTAGAATTACAGGGCGGTGCCACCAGGTCCAGCTGGGCCAATGGAATTTGCTGAGTTTCCTGTTGCTGAACACCTGGAGGTACTGGGAGGGTGAGATGGCTGGAAGGTATGGATATTCTGCTCTTTTGTCTTTGCTACCCATTTCTTGGCCCGGCTTTGTATCTGTATCCTTTATAACTTTATAATAAAGTGATAGTAAACCATATGTTTCTCTGAATTCTCTGTGCCACCTGAGCAAATCAAAGCCAAGGACAGGGTTATAGATGCCCCAAGATTTATAGCCAGATGCCAAGAATACGGGCAACAACCTCCTACTCAAAAAAGTAGCCCCGTGTGACGGAGCCCTTACCACGCATGGGTTAACTGAATCATGGGACACCTGATCAGTCTCTCTGGAGAACTGTTTGGTGTGTGGGGAGAAACCCACACATCTGGGCACAAAAGTGTGCTATGTTGAGTGGGAGAGGAGAGAGAAATCAGAGTTTGTTTTTTCATTTACAACCCCGTTAAGCATTCTTGAGCTCCAGTGACAAAGGGCAGCTGTGTGTCTGGAGACTCAGTATAAATAACACTCTCACACTGCAGCAGGAAGCTGGCTATTCCACCACAGAGCAGGGTGGTGTCATAGGTCTGGAATGCAGTTTACAACTCCTCTTTGAATTAACTTCTTAAATGAGCTTTCTCATCTTTCAGTTTATTCTCTTGAGGAATACTTGTTCCTTTTATAAGGGATGCACAGCCACCTTTATGGGGTGGTTTTGAGGCAGGAGATAGGGTGTGGACATGCCCTGCCAATCACAGAAATCCAGGACACATTTGCAGAGCATGGCTTTCAAGCCCTACACCTGGGACCAATCAATTTCTCTGGCACAAAATCAAGCTGACTTTTGATAGGACGGTCTAGATCTGACATCAGCCCTAGGAACAGGGGATACAAACAGACTTCCGCTGTTAACCTCATGGCCACCGCGAACTCTCTCGGTGCTACCTTTCTTGTGTCTCTTGTGCAGTTCTTTGTTCAGGACACCAAGCACCTGAAAAGAGTCTACAGGACCCCAGAATCTGGTAGCTGCTTGGTGATAGTAATACCAGGGCTTCAATGATGCTAGTGTTTCCGGAGTGTGATGTTTTGAACAAGCCCTATAGACACACTCTAATACAGCTAATATTAGGAAGTCTGGCCAGGATTTTGGAGCATGATACTAAGACATGGCTTCAGAATCTTCCCCGATTGGTATCTGATGAGCAGCCCATTGGTTCTGATTCCAGACATGTTGCTTGGTTCTGTGTTTTTGTTTTCCTAGTGAGTCATGTTTGGAGGGAACCAAACTATGAGCGAGTGGACTATCACCAGAGACAATTTTGTTATCAGTGAGGCTGTCTTACAGTCAAACTCACAGGATTTCAAAAAAGGTTCTCCTTTTTTTTTTTCCTTTCTCTTACAAGGATCTGAACACCAAAACTAATCATAGTTTTGAAATGTAGGTAAGCCCTTCAGAAGAGCATATTCTGTAATTCTGTTTTGACTTGAAAATGAAATTCAATAAGACTATGATGCTATCACATTGAAATACCAAATGACCCAGGATCTCAGGAGTTTGCAGGTCTTGGCTTTCTAAAACTACTCACCTTGGACAAGGTAAGCCATGCAAGGCTGATGGTCTTTTCTCCAGAAATAACAAATAATCATTTAATAAGCTAATGTTGATTTAATGCTTCTCATATATCAATACTGTTTCAAACACTGAATTCATTAAACCTGTACCTCTAGATCCTTAACTTAATTCACAGCTGCAAAGTCCCCTTAGCCATACGAGGTTCCTGATTCCCAGATTTGTAGATAAGAACATGGATACTTTGTGGGGAGATAACAATATTCATTTTATCACTGCCACAATGACACCCTGGTCACTAGATGTAACTGGCATCTGATGCACTACACTGACTTTTAAGTGCTCTTTGGCATGGAGACAGTTAATCTTGATTGTCATCTCGGTGGGTTAGAGACACCTAGATGAGGCCCACTGGGTGGGGCATGGGGCTGCAATCTTGGGGACTAGGTCTGGCCTCTGAACCCTGCTTGTTGAGCCCTTCCCCTGCTGTCTGCTTCCTGGCTGCCATGGGCTGAGCAGCCTTCCCCCACAAGGCCCTTCTAGCATGATGTTCCTACCTGGGAGTGAGTCAACCACGGACTGGAGTCTCTGGAACCGTGAGCCAAAATAAACCTCGCCTTTAAATTGTGTGTGTCAGGCATTTTATCCCTGCAACGGGAAAGCTCACTCACCAAGCCATGCTCACAGATCACAGTTTTTTTTGAGGCTGAAAGCCTTTAGACAGGGCAGAGGTGTGGAGGGCAGCCTAATCCCAGTGCTCACTTAAGTCATTCATGGGGAAGGGGACTTCCACCTGTGCTGTGTTCCGCCCCACCATTCCACTTCTCCCCATCCTGGGGCTCCTGAGTTGGATACCTCTGGATGATATAAAGTCATAAGACTCTTTGGTCTTTCTCCCTCTAATCTGCCCTACATGGGCTACAGGCTGCTGAGGGCCATGCCCACTCTTAGGAAATGCACAACCTAGAAGCTTACAGCAGCCATTGTCCTGTCCATGCCAATGCTGGATGAGTAACTTCCAAGGAGCTGGGCCACAGTGAAATCTCCTGCAACGATGAGCTAGGTGTCCAGGCTGTGTTCTCCCACTACCTAGAAGAGACACTGTGGTATATTGCAATGTCTCTGCTTGGCCATGTAGTGCTGGGCCAGGCCAACTCCACTCAGTGGGCATGTGGCAGTGCGTTAGGCAGTGCGAATGTGCAGGAGATAGAGATTCTGTCCTGGTTCTGTCCTGACCCTACTTCCTGAACACCTCTCCACCCAAGTCTCTGCAATTATGTCACCACCCTTGCTGTCAAGACTGTTCTTAGAAATGGGTGCTACATGTAGCAGTTTCCCATATCCATAGGAGTGTCCAAGGCCCCTGAAACCATGGAGAGTACTGAGCCCTGTAATGCACCACATCCTTTAATACACACCTGGGATGTTATTTAATGTGCTCAAGCACAGTATGAGACCAACAAAAATAACTAATAAAATAAGTCATAGCAATATGACATGATAAAATTATGTCAGCATCATCTTTTCAAAATG